CTGTGTGCGGCCCTGCATCTGCTCTGGGCTGGAAGTGAAGCAGAAGTCAGGAAGGATCACACTGAATGAAGGAGGAGAAAAGAGTCAGACTCACTGTGAACAAAACAACACCACCAAATAAACTGGACACCCACTACTCCTCCTCCTCCACCTCCTCCACCACCACAGTCTCTGGCAGCCTCATATTGCCCCCACAATTACCCTCAGACATCAGGATTTGACCATGTGCTCTAAAGCCACGTCCAGCCAGGTCAAAACCAGCCCCCTCCTCATCCCCCCCCACTCTGGGCCCATCACAGCCCATTGATCACTGCTGACACATCAGTAATTGAGCTCAAATAGATAAGGACTGGCAGCCAAAACCCTGAGGTCCTGACACCAGCAGAAAGCCCAGAACAAACACTGCGTGTCGCCACACAAGGTCTTTCTGCCTCGGCCGTCCTTAAAGTTCTCTCTTGTTCCTGCGTCCGTCCATTCACGTCCACCTGTTTGAACCCTGACAGGAAACCAACACAGTGTCCCTCTGTGTGAAGACACCTCCGTCTTTTCTCGTCTCAGTTCAGACCCGTGAGCAGCTCCAGACCATGATCAGATCCAAACATTCATTTTTACTAATCAGTGATTAATATATTAACAATAGAAAATATTATTTTGATAAGTTAAAAATGAGTGGATTTTTAACAGGGTCAAAAGGTTTCAAGATGAAACATGGTGAGACAGGCGTCTCAGTCTCCAAACACGAAGGAACATTTTACATTATTGAAGCTCTGCTACATTTATTTTTTGTTTTCTTAAAACTTAAAGGACATTTGAAAATGAGGTAAAAGCAGCGGGTCGTGACCCGGCGCTAAAGACTTTGATGGAGGACGTTTTAGAAATAACGAAATAACTTTTCAACTTATTCTTTTCTGATAAGAAAACCAACTATCGTTTGGTTTTTGGGATTAAATCCAAACATCTGAGGTCGTCGTTATTCTGATAATAATAATAGTTTGGAGAATTCAATAGTCACTGCTTTATTTTTGACTTGTTTCCCAGAGACATTGATGGATTGTGATCAATTTTTCTTGCAGCTTCTCGTATGTTTGAAGTGTGTTCCGTGGATCGTCACCTCTGACTTGTTGTTTGTTTAAAAAAATTAATAAACCAACAACTCATATTAATAATCGTTGAAAATGGCACTTCACCAAAAAAAAACTCTTCTTCTTCTTCACAAGTGTTTCTTTTTTTCCCAGCAGTGTTTAAAAGTTCAAAAGCCAGAGAGAGTCCAAGAGGAGAATCCGTGTTAGAAGAAAGAGAGCCAGAGAACACGTTGTTAGCAGGACATACAAGCGTGATAAATTTCTGCTCGTCTTTTGTCACTGAATACGTCTGGGCCCATATGCTGGACTACAAAGCTATGTGAAAGCAGCATTTAAAAAGCCAGGCCTACCACATTAAAGCTTATAACAATCTGCGTTCATGGTAAGTTATCACTCTCAATTAATCACCTCCCACAATGGAATTTCTGATGTGTTCAAGCCCTCTGAAAGCTGCAGGTCAGGGCGAGGGCAGACTGACTCCCAGTTCCCCATTCTCCTCACCCCTGCTCTCCCCCCTTTGACTTCATCACACCTCTCAGCCGCTGAAGTGCCCTCACGTTCTCCTTATTCCTCCAGTTTTCATGACGGAGCGGAGCATCACAGTCTTAGGCAAACAGAGAGAGTCAGTGTCTTGTTGTTGTTGTTGTTGTTGTTGTTGTTGGAGAGCCTCTGTGTTCTGACTGACTGACCGTCTGAGAGCCTTTCTGCCTGATTCCAACCCCTCCCTGATCATTCCGCTGTGTTTTACAGGCTGTGTTAGCCCATGAATGCTATTGTATTGTCTGTGCCCTCACCATTCCAGCGCTGCTGAATGGGTTTAACCACTGGTTTAGATTCAGTTACACGGTTTTAGTTGAAAGTGTCCCCCTCCCACTGCTTTGGGACTCCATGGTTCCCTTGGCTGACCTGTTTAGAAGCTGCAGTGGAAGTGTCATGTCGCCCCTCCCATGGGCTGGACCTGACATCCACTTTGATAGGTAACAAAAAAAATAGAAGCACTTGAGATGGATTAATCCAATGTGTCTTTTCTTTAAAAAAGAAAAAAAAAGCCACACACAATGAAGAACATTGTTGTGACGGCCGACTTAAAAGTGGAGGATGTTCTCATTCACTTCTTTACCAAGAATGGGAGGAGTGATGGGCGTGGAGGGACACTGGGTAAAAAGTCTTCCACACACAGACCGTTGACCGGACCAACTTCTACGACTGTGGAGGTTGTTTTGTTTTTTTTTTTAATTTTTGCAAACGTTTGAGAGGTTAAATATATTTAACTATATGGAGATAAAAGAATTAAGGAGGAATTGAAAAAAGAAATTGGAAGATACGACGCCAACATGACGTCATTTAAAAGGGTGTTAAAACTGAAACTTTTGTCACAGAACTTCGTGATTTAATCCTTGTTTACAACAAATATACATCGGCTTTTACAATAGTTGCTTCAGTTATGATTTAATTACACAATATTCCACTGTCTGTACATTTAAGAAACTAAACATATAAAACTGAATCTTTTCAGATTTAATATTATATTAATATTAAATCCACACTAGGAAACACACACACACACACACTCACACACAGACTGAGTTGCACCACGGTCACTTCCCATCAGCCCTTTGGTTTGGTGCAATAGGACAAGCCTATAATCAATTAGAGGTTCTCTCTTCTCGTGGCTGTCAATTAGCCTGCGCACTGATTGGCTGTTATGATGTCATTATTAGCCGACCCAGCTGTTCTCCTCTGTATCCACTGCACCACCAACAACATATAACCTAATAACACTGTAGCTGAAGCTGATTAGAGCCGAGACCCCCCCACCCCCCCGAC